GGGATTGAACCCAGGGCCTTGTACATGCTGAGCACATACTCTATCACTGAGCTACAACTCAGGCCCCAGAATAAATAAAATTTAAGGTTATTTCTAATAAGATACTTCAACAGGGGAAATTATAGTCCTTCAATGAATAGTGCTGAAGAACTGAGTGTCCACATGTCGAAGAATGAATCTCGACTCCGACCTCATACCACATACAAAAAATAACCCAAAATTAACCAAGGACCTAAATAGAACACTTTCTTACAAGAAAATGTAGGAGTAAATCTATACGATCTTAGGTTAGGCAAAGGCCTCTTAGGTACAAAACCAAAAATATAACCAACAAAAGAAAATAGAGAGGCCAGGCATAGTGGTGCATGTCTATAATCTCACTACCTGGAAGGCTGAGGCAGGAAGATCATTGTGAGTTTGAGGTCAGCCTTTATTTTTTTGTTTTTTTCCAGTACCAGGAATCAAACTTACGACCTTGCGGTTGCCAGGCAGGCGCTGTGCCGCTGAGCTAAATCCCCAGCCCCAGAACACCACTTTAAAAGATAATTGCTGAAACAGTACTATAAGTGGCCTGGAATAACTGACCTCTGAGGGAACTTGGAGATTTACACAGCTTTACTGGGCGAAACAATTCCCAGAAATGCTATTTAGCATAAAGCCCTATTTAGTGTGCGTTATGCTCTAGGTATCCCTATGAAAGGCCTCACTGCTGAGTGCTGTGTCTTATCACTGTCACTACTGGGACCCACTTAAGCTATCAGTTTATTAATTCTATTACTAGAACCTATAGACTTTTCCTGAGTATGTATCGGGTTTTTTCAATTTACTTTGCGTTCTGCATTTTGCCAAAGCAAATACACTCACAAGTGATACCGGCTTCCTCCCCTCGCACTGAGAGGGCGCTTGTCTCTGCAGCCTGGGCCCGTGTAGGAGCAGGTAGTCAGGCAGTGTGCGTGGGACCTTGGACCTTCCCCCAACCAGGCCGTGCCTCTGCTGTGTGGGAAACCGTGAGGACCAAGGGAGGTTTCTTTCATTAAGTAGGAGATGGGTGACCAGCAGACAAGTCCCTTTTACATTCAAATTGGGCCACTGGGTGCGGGGGAGTTAGGTAGAGTTAGGGGCCCTGGTGCCCCTGGAAGACACAGAGCTCAGGAGAGCCCTGGACTCCCCGCCCTAAAGGTCTGGAGACAGGAGTCACCTGTAGCTGAGGGGAGAAGGTGCTCACTCAAGACTGTTCCGCAGTTGAACTTTGAGCAGAAGCTTTTAAAAAGCGTCATTAATAACAACAAATATTTGGAGTAGATCCTTTCTTTTGGGTTTTGAGGCAAGGTCTTACTACATAGTACAGGCTGGCCTTGAACTTGCTTATGATAGCCCGAGCGGA